AGACTGCTTTAGCATTTTGTGTATTTCTTTTCAGATTTTGGACAAATCTAAAATTTACTTAATCCTGAGCACTTTAAGCATTGTAGAGGAGATATTTAAATGATGGTTCTTGCCGTCCTCATTAAATATTTTTGATTCTTCCTATTCCCTTTCAGAAGAAAACTGGTAACATCACATAGTTAAAAAGACTAACTCTCCAGTTTTCACAAACCTTAATCACAAGTTATTTTTTCTAACTCAGTTCTAAAATCTTGTAAAGAAGTGTCTAGGTACTACTGAACTCACCGACACACAGACGAGGAAGTTAAATCAAAGGCCTAACTCTGCTCACTTAAAATATGGAAATGGTCCAAGCACTCAGTCTCCACGACTACTGGGAACGGAAACTCTCGCTACATGTTTCATGATTGTCACCTGAAAAGTCAACTAGCTGACAGCCAAAGAGCACATTTAAAATCACCTTAATCATCTTTGTTAAATAATAAGACTTGAACTTAAAATACTTAAATCTTATAAGCAGAAAACATGTGAAGCTTTTTACAAATTCCAGGGGATAATTTAAACTATTTTAGTTCTTTTTTGCTTAGTGTTTTAGATTTCCTTTGTGCTTCTCATCTTTAAGACATAGGGGGAAAAAAGACCCAACTGTAATATGTGTTGGCACTTCAGGAAACAGTTTGTACTGCACACAAATAATTTGAAGATCACCTTTAATTAAGGGCTGTTTAAATAAAAAAGATGCATTTGCCAGGACAGCAGACCAGTTTAAGTGTTAGGTCAGACTGAGGCAAGTAACCAAGAAAAAAAGCTTCTCTTGGGTTTACCAAACTGTGATTTCCACATACTTCTTCAGTAGGGACATTTCTCAAAGCTGCACAAGAGTTTTATGGATTCACAACCCTCACTTGCACTAGCCAGGTAACATTCTCAGTCAACAGATAAAAGCTCACATTGCACAAGTTTTGTCATAAGCAGCCTGATGAAAACACACTGCTAGAAACCATAGTTTTAAGTACGTAAACATTAGAATTAAAATAGCAAACCCTTCAAGACCTAAAGATTTTAGGAAAATATATAAAAAGATACATTTTGAACCAGAGGTATATTGCCTAAATTATTTGTTTTTAAAAAAAGATTTTATTTATTTTTAGAGAGAGGGGAAAGGAAAGAGGAAGAGGGAGAGAAACATCGAAATCGAAGTGTGAGAGATACATCACATGCCTCTCACACGCCCCCAGTTGGGGACCTGGACTACAACCCAGGCGTGTGCCCTGAATGGGAATCAAACCAGCGACCTTTCAGTTCATAGGCCAGCAATAAATCCACTGACCCACACCAGCCAGGGCTCATTTCAGTTTTTTTTTAAGCTCTTAAATTATTCAATTTTGAAATGGCATAACTGAAATCTAATTCATAGCAAAGCTAAAAATTTTAAATTCTTACATGTAAGTTACTGTACTTGGGACTCTTAAGATTCAATACTGGATAAATGGGAGAATCCTGTTAGTGAAGAATGAAAAATTCTTAGACTTGGGGAGGCCTATGGAGGGAATAAACATCTGTGATTTGTTGGTTTGGGGTTAGTCTCCTTGAGGCTGTTTCAACCCGGGTAAGGGGTTATCTAGGGTAGTTGTGAGAATTCAATGAAAACACATATGGGAGAGCAGAGCAGAGGCCTGATATACAGCTGCTCAATCTAAATACTATTCTTGACTGAAGTATTTCTCACTGCTTTCTAAAATGCCAAAAGGCAAACAGGATGGGTGACCAAATGGACTTCTGAAAAACAGTAAGACTGATTCTCTTGGGTTGCTTACAGTCTGAAGTTGAAAGAAATTCTAAGTTCCAAAAATGGAAACATTGGAACACATGCAGCCTCTCTAAGTGTTCTGAAAAGGATAACTCTCGATGGGGTGTATAGGTTCTGACAGATTTATTATAACAACAAAAACTCCCCGTGTTAGCCCTATTACTCTGGTTCTGGTTCATTTTTTTTTAATTAATGTTACTTCTTTTTTTAACTTTTTTTAGATTTTATTTATTTATTTTTAGAGAGGGAAGGGAAGGAGATAGAGAGAGAGAGAGAGAGAAACATCAATGTGCGGTTGCTGGGGGTTATGGCCTGCAACCCAGGCATGTGTCCTGGCTGGGAATCGAACCTGCAACACTCTGGTTCATTATTAAACCCACAGAACTAGCCACATTACATGTCCATCTTAAAACTTACACTTTTGTTAAAATAGAATACTGTTTAACTTTTCTATTCAATAGAATTCAACTATCACTCCACATCAAAGTAAAAAAAAATACCACATGCACTTGCCCCCCACATGCTTCACGGAATGCTACGACAATATGATGCTTTACAAGAGCAGCAGCAATCACTCACATGGTTTCCTACGTCCTGGACAACGTTCTAAGCAGCCCAAACTAAAGCCCAGTGAGGTTACTCACCTCCAACTAAGAAAAGGCAGCTGGGACTTTGAACCCAGGTAGCCTGACACGAGTCCATTCTATACCTTAGTTCTTTTTTCTGTTGCTGAGTAAACTAGATTTAAGAATCACCTAACATTGTATTGAGAGTATATAGGTAACAGATTCAGACAATTTGGAATCGATACTTCAAGCATCTCTTCATTGAAATTTAAAAAGCACACACCAAGACTCCAAAGATAAGCTGCCTTCCGAAGGTCACCATGCATTAGAGGCCAGGGCTGACCACATCCTAACCACCAAGCTAAGCACACTCTTATCATCTCTCTTCGTGCAACCTCACAGAACTAGCAACGGGCTCAGATTAGCACCAGAAATACTTCTGAACATAATGTGTGGACGAATGGCCTATGAAAACTGGCCCACATCTTCTTGTTCTTTCTCTGAAACCTATATAGGTTTCCACCTGAACACTGTCAACTAGAAGCTGGGAATAAAAAGCAAACAAGACAAAAGCTCACGGTCCAGCAGAGGGGGATACATATGTCAACAAGATGACAGTCACAGGAGCCCCAACCAAAATCTATGTAAGGGACAGCAGGGGAATAAAAAAAGGCCTAGTCAAACCATCTTTGGCTATGATTTATCAATTTAACCTATAATCCCAGTTCTATCATTGCCTGGTCATATAACCTAAAGAACAGGTACTTCACTCTCATCTCTAACGTGAGGATGAATCTTTGAACTTGCAAATACAATCAAACTAGGAAATCTATTTTGAAGAAAACGTTTTTAAAAACTATGATTTTATTAATCAAGGGGACATTTAAAGAGATGTGTCATTGTTAGAGATTATCTAGGGTATTGTGGACAATTATCATATAAAAACACAGTATCAAATTCCCAAAAATTATATATACATACCATAAACATTAACATACAAATAAATTTGCAACAAAGAAGACTCTTTGGAGTTTAACTGTGCTCTGGAATTGAGTGGCATTTACACAGTACTGTACAGCACAGCCAGCGTGTACATACAGTATATTCCGTACTGGCATTATATGAACTGATTGCTGGATTCTGGAAAACCAAGTATTTGGAAGCTGCCCAAATGCTTGGCTTTATAAAATTTTCATTTCAAAAAATTTCCATCTTAAGCATTGTATAGGAGAAAGAACATGTGAATTTTAGAGTAAGACAGCTCTGAATCCACATTCAATGTATAACCTTGAGCAACCTACTTAAACTCAAAAGGTTTTTTTTCCACCTACAAAGTGAACAATACCACCTTCCTTCAGTGAACTGTTGTGACATTGCATGGCTGATGATGCAGTGTTAAGAAATGAGTTCCTTTCCTATTGCCTTAAAAAAGGGTAGCTAACCCTTTTTCTTAAATAATCCTTAAATCCAAAAAAAGTAAAGCTCCAGACCTTTAGGTTACATAATTAGTTACTATAGAAGTCTAGGTTTTTATATAAATAAAAAAAGGATAAAATCATGTAAATACTAATTCGAAAAGTACGTAAGAGTCCTACAAAAACCATTATTTAGCTTTGCAAGTTGGTTCTTCAGTTTTGTTCATCCCTCCTAACATCCTCTCATGATGTCCTAACATTCCACTTACACTGGTGTCAGCTTGCTCTTCAGTAAGCTGGAGATAATAGTTCAAAAAAAAGGGTAGGATATTATTTAATAAAATCAGAAGAAATTTATTAATTTTACAGCTATAAATGGTGCTGTCCCAAACTGGTAAATTACTTCAGGTTATCAAGGTGTTTTAAAATTTAAGCTAACATCTAATTCTAGAACTAAAATAAAGACTGAAAAATCAAGGGTGTACCCTATAAAAATCTTGTTGAGAGACGATTGCCAAGTTCATGGTTAAAAAAATCATTATTTAAATGCACTAAACAACTACATTTTTCTTCATTCCAAGTACAACCAAAGATAAGTGCTACATAAGAAGAGCCTTGTCTATTATATTACATTTATCTACTACTGTAGTTCTAAAATAACTCAAGTCATTAAAGGAAAGTTTTGACATCACACTACCATTTACCATATTTTTCAGACTATAAGACCACTTTTTTTAACCACATTTTTTTGCTTCAAAAATTTTCCCCTTCTAAAACCTAGGTGTATCTGGGGTCTGCACCATAAGATGCACCTAGGGTTTAGAGGAGGAAAATAGAGAAAAAAATTTTGAAGCAAAAAATTTGGTAAAAAGGTATATCTTATAGTCTGAAAAATACAGTACTTCTCCCAAACAGAGCCAAAATACAGTTGCGGGTTGATGCATTGCAAATACACCTTTTAAGGCAGTGACTTTTAAATATATAAGAGCTCAATTTGCCTTTTTCTGTCAATGTCACTATTTTATGAAGCTTATTTAGAATTAAAAACATTACTAACACCATCAAGTCAAGGCTCCTTCTGATCTGCTGTCCACAGGCTTCTTACCTTGTAGGCCCCACTTCCCTCCTCACCTGCTTGGGCACCTTAGATGGCAGAGACAAGTTTAAAGTCACTTGCTATTGAAATCCATGAAATGAATGATGAAGCTATACAACCAAAGCAAGATCCAGGCTTTATAAACACATACTCTCAAGTCTGAATTGATACACAAGATTCTTAGTTCATTTTACAGATTCTGAAACCAAGTTGTTCAAAGGTTAATTCTGAAACCATGGTCCATGTAACAAATGAATATATCCAAACAAACAAAAACTTCATTCAAATATTTACATTTAAAAATTAGGCTACTTATTAAGTGTGCTTGAACAAACCATGTGTGGAATTGAATTCCATTTACTATGGAGTTAGTTTCTGCTAAACACTTACTGACATTAGAGAAGACCCCTGGCATCTGAGTTTTCAAGTGTTCCCAATCTATGCTAAAAAATAAATAAATAAAAATAAAAAATAAAAATGACAAATAATTTCTGAGGCACTAACTTGAACCTCAGAAGTGGAAGGGCTAGTATGTAGGGCAAACTACTTGGGAGTCAGAGGGTTGGCATCTGTAACTCAATGTGGCTTTGCCATTGCCTCAGTATCACCAGGTATTCAATAAAATTCTCTAGAGGTCACTGAAATTTTTCAATTACATCTCACTGCATTATGTTCTAATAGTTTCACAATCTTGGAATTTCACAAAAATATCTGGGAATATATTCCTTGGAAAGGTAGAGGGGTCTCCTTATTACATTAAACAAAAAACCATGCAGTTTCTTAGAGCTCACAGAGCTTTTTCAAAATAAACTACCGATCATACAGCCCAATTAAAAACTCCAACACTTAATATTACAGGTATAGAAAGTTTATAGTTCAGCAATGCCAACATACATAATTTGACACCTTCACCCCTACTTGCAATGCGATTAGTAACTAACTATACAATGACTTCTATTTTATTGTCACCGACTTTGGCTCAGATGTTTTAAATACTTAAAACAATTTGGAAAGTTTTTTTGTGTGTATTTTGCTGTTTTTGTGTGGGCATGGGTGCAGGTGGGGATTATAATGAGAGTAGTCGGTTCACCATAACAGAGACAACCAAGAATTTAACAGCCACTAAGATTTCATTTACCATTTTCTTACAAAATATATGTGGAAGAATATGGCTTAAAGACAGAGGGAAAAGCCTCTTATTTGCACATACTATTGTACTCTACCCTTTATTCAGTCTGACAATAATGCCAAACTTAATTTATTACCTAGGACAAGACTAACTCTCTAAGAGGATTTTATGAAATCCAATTTATTTTGGTTTTTAGATACTGAATACTTAAAATTTTTGAATTCTTCAGATTAACTAAAAAAAAGGTTGTATCAACAACCAAAATCCCCAAAGGATTAGATAAAAAACAACTGGTTAACCATTTAAAAAATACCCAACTAATTTTTTTAACAGATTAGAATTAGTTGAAATATATCTCTGCCCCTATATTGACCTTTTGCTTAATCTATAGCCAAGGCAACATTTCTTAGGCAAAATGCTTCTACTAAGGAGACAAAAGATCTCTAAAAAACAAATTAAAAAAATAAACAAAAAACCCTCAGTAGGTCTAAAATCATTCCAAGGCTATCCCTTGGGCAAGAAATAAAACAATAATGGACAAAACAACTCAGTTTCTACAAACATACCATTTTCTTTTTGTTAAAAAAATGTGGTTGATTTGATACATATCAAAATAAGCAGAATTTTCATGTTTCACAATTTTGTTTCTAGAGATCCTCAAATCTCTTGAACTCATTTGGGAAGTGTTTTGAAGGTGCATATTATAGTAAACAGCAGCAAAATACCAAAACAACTCTATTGCTAAAAAGCAGCTGCTCCTGCTTGTGCCTTTAGAATACTACTAGTTGTAAGACAGCAACAATAACAACCAATGCTAATTTGTGCCATCAACTGGGATTCTAAGGAAGAAACAAATTGTTTTCTTTAGACAGTCCAAAGTGGGACATATACAATCATACTGGACAAATACTGGCTTTTGGGAGAAAATACCAGAAAATATTAACAAGAGAGACAAGAGCATTATATTCAGTATTCTAAAGGCATGCTTCAGGTAGTTCAACAATGATTCTGGTAACACCAACTGCTCACATACATACACATGCACACACATAGATTTTAATGGTTTAAAAAAAATTTGTTACTTTAGAAAAATGAATGCAGTGCACTTTCAACAATATTATCGCCACAGACTCTGATTGCTTAGTCCACACATAAGTAGTAGTTGCCTTCTATGGTGATATGGCTTCTCTGCACTAATTCCCATCAGGCCGAAAAACATTAGGGCAGGTTAAGTAAAGACTGAATTGTTGCACAAAGGAACATTTACTCATCAGATCCCACTGATCTCTTCTGTGCCCGTTTCCTGGGCAACCTTCTTGGTGAAGCTTTATCTGGAAGAAAAGAGTGACTATTATAGGTATGTTAGATTCAAAAGACATTTTAAAAAGCATTTCCCTTCAACTTTATAATTAAGTTCAAAAAACAATATATATACCATCTAATAATAAATGCTTCTTATCTAGTTAAGGCATTTTAACAGCCCCTCCTTTTATTAACAACTCTTTTTTTTTTTTAAGATTTTATTTATTTATTTTTAGAAAGGGAAGGGAGGGAGAAAGAGAGAGAGGGAGAGAAAAATATCAATGTGTGGTTGCTGGGGGCCGTGGCCTGCAACCCAGGTATATGCCCTGACTGGGAATCAAACCTGCGATGCTTTGGTTTGCAGCCCGTGCTCAATCCACTGAGCTACGCCAGCCATGGCTTAACAGCCCTTTAAAATAATCCTTCAAGAGGTAACAACTAAAACGAAACCTTTTGCAATTAGGCTGGGAAAAGAGCTACTCTTGGTTATTGTAATGTTGAAGCTACCATGCAAAATCTTCTTGAACTCTACAACTGAACATGATTATGCATGCATAAGTAAACACTTTAGAAACAGAGTAAAAGGTATGAAACTTACAGCTCAAAAAACTTATATTGGTTACAAAATTAAGACAATTTCAAATGCAGCCATGCAGTTTGCATAATATTGGCAATTTCATAAATTACCTGCAGAAAGCAGGATAAAGGAAATGAGGCAGTTGATTATTAATACTAAAACCATCCCACACACATAAACATTATTATTTTTTTTAACTTTTTCTCTTTATAGCTTACGTTAAGAGTCTAAGTGGGGGCGTCTATCAAACAAAAAATAAATGGGCGAGTTTCTTCTATTTCCATTCAGTAAGAGAAGTCATCTTAAGTTTCTTTTAAAACAGGAAGAGCTGTCTTCTCTCTGACCATGGTATCTTCTTATTTTGTATGATCACTTTTCAAATTAGGAAGATAAGTTCTCTTTGTGGACTAAGTAATTATTTTTCCAGTTTTTTAATAAAGTGAAGGACTAGAAAAATGCTTTCATCGAAGTATGGAGTTCATTTGCAAACATTTCATGAACACTGGTAATGAAAAGTATCATGTGCCTAAAAGATTTTAAGTTTTATTTTTCCAAAATTACTAGACTATGCCTATATTTAAAAAATGTAATCGATTTTTATCAAGCATATTTAGAATATAAAAATTATTTTAAAAATCTGCTTAAGAGTTAATGACTCAGAAATATTAAGCCTAAGTCTAAAAATCAGATAAAACTGACCTTTACTATATAGATCAGTAATGTTGTGTTTAGGAAGTTCATCTCACTCAAAACTGATCATAGGATCATTTTTCTGATGAAGATAACCTACAGCTCTCATCTGATTTACAACTACTACCTTCACACAGTTGACCAATTTCCAAATAATTCTGAAATAATATGCTAAATATAATTTTTGAGGATTCATAAAGTATTTTAGAATCTAGTAGCCATCTGTATGAATACAGCTGAAGTGGTGATTACTTCCAGCAATTTCAACCACCTGCAGCTGGTTTTAAAAGATGGGCATACATAGGAAAAAACCTTCATCACCCACGTGTCTAGCATATCAAAGTTAGGAGGCAGACAAATGAGAAATAGAACATTCTGGAGTCACTGAGCTTTTGAGAAAATGGCTCCAAATATCTCAACAGCCCCCAAAACAGCATTTATTTCAGCAAAGAACAAGGTGTATAATGGCTTTTCAGCCCAATTCCCCACTTACCGCAACCACCACAAAGCCTAAAAAACCTTAGAAATGAATTAACTGTAGTAAAATCACAACTCGCTACAACTGTCTTCATTTTTAGACAACAAAGGCAAAATCGTAGTGCAACTTAGAAGAAAAAACTTAGTAATATATTCAAATAGTTTCAAACCACCCTTTCTTTGTTTACAAAATATAAATTGGTGAGTTTCTTCTATTTCCATTAAGTAAGAGAAGTCATCTTAAGTTTCTTAAGTCATCTTGAGTAAAAGCTCTTGACAAATTTAATATTGGCCTCTTATATATCCTTCTCTTCACACCACCCCTCTCCCAAAGTAATTAATTCCTCAAAGCTTGAGGCACTTTCCAGACAAACTTCCTCCTCCTCCTCCAAGACCTTCAGAGTTTCTCTGTCCTCAAATATGCAAAGTACATGTCTTATCCAAAAGAAACAGTTTTCCTAAATTACCTGCCATTTGGCTTAACCCCTTCACGCTAGGAAAACAATGTTCTAAAATATTGTTTTCAAAGTGTGGTTCTCAAAGTGTGGTCTGAACCAGCAGTCTCAAAATCCCTTTGACATGCAAATTTTTAGCTCAGTTGGAAACCCTGGAAGTCCAGGTGATTCTGGTGAATGCTAGAGTTTAAGACCTGCTGCTCTAAGCAATCAAGTATAAGAGAAAAAAAAGCAGCACACAAAATTAAGTAAAAATACTGTTAAAGTTGAACTGAAAATATCAATGATTTTATGATTTGAAAAATATGTATGTTCTATCTCAGTTCACAGAATGGGCCTAGAAACAAGGTCATCCAGTATCAATGACATCTAAAAATAAAATCTTTAAAAAAGAAAAATATAGTTAAACATACCAATTCTATGAAAACCCAAATTTAGAGGTGATAATTTTAAAAAAGGAGAAATTTTTTTTAAAAACTCAACATTTAGGTGCCTCCTTACTTTGAAAATTCAAAAATAAATGGAAGAATTTAGCATTCATCCTTTTTAAGTTCAAACTGTGTTTCAGGGTAACCAAAGTTTCAGGTGATGAGGAAAGCTCTACCAATGTTTCTTCCTTCCTCTTGCTCTAAAAAATAATGAAAAAATGTCCTCAGGTGAGGAAAAAAAAAAAAGAATGGCATTGCTCTGGAGCGTGTGGCTCAGTTGGTTGGAGTGTCATTCCATATACCTAAAGGTGGGTTGGATTCCCAGTCAGGCCACATGCCTGGGTTGTGAGTTCAGTCCCCAACAAGGCAGGTTTGAGAGGCAACCTATGTTTTTTTCTCTTCCCGCATCTGTTTCTCTCCCTTCCCCTCTTTCTAAAAAATCAATAAGCATGTTCTTCAGTGAGGATTAAAAAAAAAATCTTTAAAACAAAAGAATGGCAGTTAGTAAAAATCAAAGAAATTTCAACTGAAAATCATCACAATCTCTGGAACGCTGATTCATGTGAGCACTACCAACTAGTGAATGGTTTAGAGAACTGGACATCTGTGTGATGCTAAACTAACACCCCACAATAACTTTTGGCTGAAAGCAGGAAGAACTCATCTTTCCTTGTCACATGGAAATATGTCGCTACCACCCTAATCAAGTGCTCGATTTAGCACCCCTAATGATGGGACATACTTGATGTGATATAGGAAGAAATACTTATGAGCTATGATGTATGCCAGAGATTTTCAACCTGTGGGCCTCAAGAATTTTTAAAACATGTAATATCTAACTATTTAGTCCAGGACACTGACCCCTTTTCCCTCACATTATCAAATAAAAAAAGTCAACAGCCAACGCAATTGTCATCTGGTGTGAATGAATAAAAATTTTACCCATTTTTTCTTGTCAGATCGGCAAAAAAATATTTTTTAGTGTGCCACAGAATTTTTGTAATTAGTTTATCTGTGCTATGAGATGAAAAAGGTTGAAAATAGATGAGGTATTCTATTAGCCAAAAAGATCAATTTAAGTCTAATCAAGCCTATAGATTTATCTTCCAGGTTAAATAACTTTTAGCTGAAGACAACCAGGAAAAAAGACAAATCTGGCAGGTTGGACTTTTTAGAGCCTTATTACTCAGTGTGACCAGGAGGTCACCTGAAAACGTACTAGAAATACCAATGCCCTGCCCCACTGTTCTTGTTTCCTTTTCAGACCCCTCAGAAGTGTAACCACCCTCAAAAGGGCACATAATCTTGTTAACTATCCTGTAAAAAGATTTCCTTGCCTTGCTTTCTTCCGCTGCACGTGACCTTCCTTAAGGTCCCTCCGTAACTCCAAATGTAGAAAAGAAACTGCAAACTGTGTATTCTGGAGAGCATTTGAGATCTTCCTTACTGGTATATTATTAGTTTGCCTCAAATAAACCCTCTAATTTTTTTTTCTCCAGGTTTATATGTTTCTTACATCAACATGTCATATCTGCAATTTAAAGTATCTCATATTACAGAAGCTTTAAAAAGTGACTTTTGTATAAAAAAATCTACACTCTAAAATAGAAAATAATCACGTTTTTGCCAACTACCAAGTATTTTTTCACACCCTTCTCCTTAACCTCTAGATCTCTGATTTCTGAAATGCTCTCGGGACCCTATTTGATTTCCCAGGACATGAGGCTTCATCTGGGGCCTCCAGGCTCCCAGGGTTTGCTGTAATAGCAATAAAGGATTGTGGTTTTATGTGTTATGTGCCTTCCAACCATTTTCAAATTCCAAAAATTAATCAGTAACATGTCTATCAATGGTAAGCTTGAATATGATAAATTTTTTCACCTCAACTGGATAACTGGATCAGCTTAAAGCTGTTTAGAAGCCACCTTATTGTTTATGAAGCCTCTCAAAACAAGGAATTTCACTTAAACAGGGAAAGAGAAGGAATAATGAAAGTGTCTTTGGTGGTGAAACGTGGTCCTAAAACAAACTCAGGCTGGACAATCAGATTTTGAGCAAAATAAGCAAGTGTTGTTAAAAAAATACAGTATTTATCGACTTTAATTCTACCTATCTTTGAGTATTGGGCCTCACTGGGAAAATATACCAGCTTTTGAATGAGACAAATGTAGCTGTGAAGCTTGGTTAAGTCGCTTTTTCATAGGAGCAATTTCTCATTAGTAAATACAGAGGCAGCAGTTTACCTTGCAGAATGAATGCCCAGTCTACACAAGGTACTAGTGTAAGTTCAATTCTTCCTTCAACAAGGCCTCCATAAGTTGTGCATATTATTTATTCTAGCACATAATCACCTACTACCTCTGATTACTCAAATATTTTATGTATGTGGCTTTATTTTCCTCAAGAAGAAATGTAAATTCTGGAAGAAACAGTAACTTTAAGTTCTTTTTAACATACCATTCAGAACCTAGTAGAGTATTATGACATAGTATATACTTAATACTTGCTAACTAAAGACACAATTATATATGGTTCAAATTTTGCTCTGTGAGTATAATTATGTCAGGGAGGTTATGTCAGGGAGGAAGATACTATAAAACAAACCCTCCCAATATGTCATTTAAAAATTCTTTTGAAGAGGTAGATTCCATAGCAGTTACAGTGACTTTAGTTTTTAATTACAGTTTTTAATGCTTTTCAAATGCAGTTTTACCTAATTCTATGAAACTTCAATTTAAAATACAATTATGTTTGAAGAAATCATATTTAAACATACCACAGACTTTAAACTTCTAATGCATCGTAAAGACACTACGGTATACTGTATTTTCGGACTGTAAGACGCACTCCCCCCCAAATTTGGGAGGAAAGGGGGGTGCATCTTATAATCCGAATGTAGCTTACCTGGCTTGCTGTGGGTGGGGCAGTGGAGCAGGGTCACAGGTTATTAAACATTTTACCACATTTTTTGCTTCAAAAATTTCCCCCCTATTTTCCTCCTCTAAAACCTAGGTGCATCTTATGGTCCGGTACATCATATAATCCTAAAAATACAGTACATTTCAACCTGATATTTTCTGCTATGGTAAATGTCAGGATGATATGAGAAATTTGTCCTTAGAATGATTTACTCCCTCACCTACCACCTATGCTGTTATGTCCCATCATCTTCATATCTTGTGCTCTGAATACAACTTTCAAATGCTTACTCAACTTCCTTATCTGGGAGTTCCATGGGCTCCTCACATTCAACAGATCTAATCCAAATTCATCTCTCCTCATGCATACTTGTTCCTCTTCCTATATTCTCTGACAGCAATAGGATCATTTCCCACAAGGCTGCCAAAACTCAAGAGTACTCTCACTCCTCCCTAAGATATCCAAACAGTCACCAAAAACCTGATCTGCTCAACTGCTGCAACATCTTTCTTCTCACTTTCACTCCCATCACTGCTGTCTTAGCTTACTGAGGCCCTAATAATATCTTATATTTTTTAAAAAAATCATTTTCCAGTAGCTCCTGCTTATTATTCATCCTCCACAAAACTGCCAATTTCTTTTAAAACATAAATTTGTTATTTCTCTACTTTAAAGTTATCTGATGTTGTAAAAAACCTAGAAGGAAAAGCTAGAAGTCCTTAGCATATAGCACATAAAACTTTGAAGACTCCTCACCTAACTTTTCAAAGCTCTCGTCAAATGTCAATTCCTGTGAATGATTTCCCTACTGTCCTACAGGGGGAAGGCCCTCCTGTGTTCTCATTACTTTGTACCCACTTCTATTTTTTAAAATTTTAATTATTGATTTTTAAAGAGAGAAAGGGAGAAATATCAGTGTGTTATTCTACTTCTTTATGCATTCATTGATTGTTATTTTTATTTTTGATGATTGTGATGCACAATGGCTGTGATAGGGGTGTGTCTTCAAGGCATTAAAGGTTTGGTTGTATTTAGTAGCAGAACCTAACTGCTGGCTCAGTGCATGTATATGTGAACCATTCTTTCACATCTTGAAGAAATCTTCCTCTGTACTCTGAGGTAGTATGGCAGAGGCAGCTTCAGCAGGAGAAGGCCTAGTTTCACGTTACTTCACTTGGGTAGAAGGCATCCTTTCGTGCGGTTCCTTGCATTGACCGTGAGTACATGAAAGAAACATCTCTTCGGACTTTGCCAACCCTAGTTTCCAGTAATGTCATCTTACTATTCAGAAACTTCAATTGTTTGCAATGCTTAGCCGTCTGAATGCAGATTGTCAATTTTCTTCTCCAACTGCTCTAATATTGAGGCAGACTTGTCATGGATGGCATTTTCATCGCTTGACTCACCATCAAATGGCTTATTGCTTGTCTTCCTAATTGTTCTTGCAGCAGTTACTTTTTCTGTGGTAACTTCTGCAGCTATCAGTTCTGAAACATCTGAGGAAGGAGTCTCATTATCAGACTCAGATTCTTCCTCCATAATCAATTCAGAACACGCACAATATGATGGACCTGTTCGGGGATTGCAGGCGACAGGAATGGTTGTTGAGAGGTCCAGGGGACCATTTAGGAGGCCCATTTTTTTTTTTTTTTTTGTGGGCTCAGCCATTCTGCATCTTTTACGATGATTCCCAGTGGTTGATTATTGTATGTGCCCTGGTGTACTGGACGATGCTCTAACCAACTGAACCATTCAGCCTGGGACTTTGTACCCACTTTTAATAAAGCACCTACTATGCAGTAATTTTGTTTCACTAGAGTTCACTGAATAATATGGAAATAAAGAAAACAATTCAATTTGCAAACAAATTTGTAAGCAAAACAATCTGTAAACCAAGAAAAGCCTTGAATTCACAGGAAAAGAAATATTAAAATTGTAATAAAAAAAGACATCATTTTTATCATTGACAGATTAAAACATTTGATAATACCTGAGAATGATAAGTGAGAGTAGAGGAGAAACAGGCAATATTGTATGTACAATGGTGAGAATATAGATCGGCACTGTATTTTGGGAAATAAATCAGATACTTTCCTTAAAAATGCATAATTTTAGATCTAACTGTTCTACTTTTTAGAAATTATCCTGTGTGGGGAATGGGAAAAATGGGTGAAGGGGGTCAAAAGGTACAACTTTCCAGTTATAAAATAAGTCATGGAGTGTCATGCTTATTATGGTGACTATAGTTAACAATACTATAGTGTATATTTGAAACCTACTAAGAGAGTAGATCTTAAGTTTTCATCATAAGAAAAAAATTTACTATTATGTGTACTGATGGATGTTAACTAGACTTACTGTGGTAATCATTTTGCAATACACATGAATAATTTTTTAAACCCCATAAATTTAAAAATAAGAATCTTCATTAGCGTTTTTTAAATAAACGCTTACATATGAACACTGAGTACTATTTGATCATTCTGCTTCACTCACTTTTATTATACTACCACTTTAGGTAGCACAGCACAGCATTTAGTTGCACAAACTCATCTGAGTATTGGCTCCACCTCCTTTTTTTTTTAACAGTATATTCCCATTAAAATATAGGTTATGAACTATGCTAAATACCGTGAGCATCATTAACTTTCTGTTCCAGCATACTATCAAATTCAAAAAGCAGTAATTAACCTGGCTCCACCTCTTAATAGCTGTATGACAAGCTTCCTCATTACAGGTTTAATTTTAAGATTGAAAAGCTCAAAATAACATACTTCAATACAGAATGGATTTAATCTATCATGACACATTTATATAAAATACTATCTAGTTATTAAAAAGAACAAAAGCATCAAATAAGTAACTATCACAAAGATATCCAAAGCATGAAAACTCATTGTACATGTGAGATACAATGCCAGCTGTGTAAAATAAAAACAATAGACACATAAGTTGACATATGTATAGAAAATACTTAGAATAACAAGCAAATGCCAATTACTTATGGAAATTGAACCAGTGGATCCAGAAGGTGATATTAGCTTTTCGCTTCTGTACTCTTTCATTTTTACAATGAGGCCTTATTACCTTTACAATAAATATTTTTAAAAAGTTCATTTACAATTGGAGAAAAACTTCTACTCTTTTATAAAGATTAATATTCTAACTAGTTGCATATGTAATAAAATTGAAATAAATCTGTTAAGGAAACTATCATGCAATACTTTAGGTTTATTTTTCAAACTATTCTGGGTAGTTAGCAGTTTTTCCAACAAATACAGTGCTAAAAAACTGTTTTATTACTTATTAAACTTACTGTAAAGTAGAGCCCCCAATACATAGCAAACCCCATTAAAAAATTAATCGCCTCACCTCTTCTACTTTGCACTGAAGCAACAGGAAAGAAGAGAGACAGGAAAAGGTTAGAAAGAGAATTCACACATTTGTATGTAAACTGCAGATATGGAAGCATTTCTAAATTACAATGTAAAAATACTATACAGAACAAAATTTTAAAGTACTCATTAGCCATATTATACTAGATTCTGTACAAGAAATGGAAAAGATTAAGTGTTAAATAGCAATGACCAAGCACTTTTGCTAAATCTAAAATATTTAATCTCCATTTCAGAGAAAAAGTTCCCAGCCAAGTTAGAGTACTTACTGATCTGATTCAAAGTTTCCTGAGGAATCCAACTCATGTCAACATCATTCTGACTTGATGTACCCATCTCTACTTTCTGTATGGGTCTCTTGCGCTAAGAGAACATCAAAACAGTATTTTAAAGGAGTTTCATTGTATTGTTTACTGTAATTTTAAAAACAGACTACTTAAGTATCTTTAGCTACCTATCAAGCTACTTAAATATCTTTATAGAAAAATATGTTTTCTCTTTGTTTTAAAGCATACACCTATCCAAGTTTTTATTAATCAATGAAGGGCAATCACGTCTTACACCAACTATAAAGAATAAGTAATAAGGAAGAGATCTTCAAACAATGATTTATTTTCAGGCTTTAAAGACATTTTCCTCTGCTATAAAGTTTCACATGTTATCAAGACTTTCTACATACAACGACTATTTTTCCCTTTTAAATGTTAAAGAATACACAAAATATTAAAAAAAATAAAAATAAATGTTAAGGAATACATTTATTTTTACATTCCACAAAATTCAGGATAAATTCCTGAAAGGTTGCACGTAGGCAGATTCCTGCATTGTTAATTAAATACACTGAAACAGGTGGCATAGATAAAATAAAATAAAAACATAAAATCTCATTTAAGCTAACAAACTAAAACTTTGTCCCTAGACTTTTTGTATTAAAACTGCTAGAAAGTTTAAAAATAATTCAATTATATTATTTAGCCCTGCTCTTAAAAAACAGCAAAACCCCTAATTATTTACCTAAGAGAGTATTAAATATATGGTCCAAAAATTAGATTCTGAATATACAGAAAGGTAACCACAGCTACTTTTTAAAAATGGCTTCAAATGGGAAGAAACTGAAGATGCCATCATACCTAATATATAAATTTATAGCAAAAGCACCAACTATTGTGAAAATGAGGCGAAGAAAGTTACAGAAACTAACATTTAAACACTAAGTATTATTTCTCTTTTAAAGAGCTAGTGCTTAGTAGTAACACTTATTGTTAATTTTAATGTAAGGGTCCAGTGAGCATTAATATTTGACACAAATCATGTCATGTCATACTCTCCCACGGAAGAAATAGTATGAGTGGATTTATTTTGTTTTGTAGGGCCAGGGAGTGAGATGAGGACTGTGGTGAAACTAGCTACCATGTCCAGAGAGAGAAACCATGATTATATTGTAGCAGGGGGTTCAGTGTTACCTCTTTATTATACTCACAAGAAAACAGAAGTCAGACTGATAGGACAAATACAGCCAAATTCATTCTTTCTCAAATGAAAAGACTCACTTAATTGCTAATTAGGAATTACTTCTATAGTTAAAGAGTACTGAAGCAAATATAAAAGCTTCAGTGCTAACAGATAAAATAGCATATCCATGAAGTACAGTGAACAGAAAAATAAAATCTGATGTCAGAGTATAAGAAGAAAGAATTCTAGCACAATTTAGAGTTTCAACATAAGAAAGTAAAGCTCGCTCTGGAGGGTACAGTCTAAGGACACATTGCACATGTGTACAAAAGCCTGAATGAATCCAGGTCACATATCCAATGTTTCATTTTAAAAGGTACAACAAACCTGTAAATATATAAACTTACAGTGAAAGCAAGAAGCCACAAATAACTGGACTGAACTTAATTTAGTACTGTTAACAACTTTTGGCTATAAGAGTCATTCACCCATAATTACCTTTCTAGATTCCAGGAGTTGATGAAGGCCAACAACAACCAAGAGCCCAAGACCCGCAAGGAACATATACATAAAGATACTAATACAAAAGGAGAAAATAAAAATTCCTTAATTCAAAGGAAATATCACAGATAATTAAAACTATAATTGTTTTAACTTATAAAAAACACCATAGCTAATTACATCTATAATGCTAACACTATGTAACTTATAAAAAACACCATAATTACATCTATAATGCAACACTATATAAGCTTTCCAAATAACTTGTTGGTAAAAGGGATACAATATTTTAAATTCAATTTAGATTCAGGTAATAAATTTTATAAATTTCTTTAATTCATCACTTACAAAGAACAGAATTTTTAAGATAAAATCTTATAATTGACATTTCCAATGGCAATTTTTGAGGCATGCAACTTAAATTGGGCTAGTGATCAGCTTAAGAGAATGGGGTGAAAAAGATTTTAGAAGAGGGGAAGAATGGAAAGCCAAAGTTATCTTTTTTCAACAAATTATTGTCAGTTTCAACTTCCTTTCCTGACTTGGTATTAATAATTATAAGCATCATCTAAAGTATGAATTTACCTAATTAGGATTTCACAAAATCTCTAGTCCATTCCATTTTCATCATTTAATAAAGGTAAGCTGACAGGAGCAAGCCTTCCAGTCCTACTTAAGGAGATCAAGATCTATGTATTTCAACTTTCACTTACGTTTCTCCATCTAACCCATCCTCTCTTTCAATAATTGTAACTGTTTGATTGAAGACAGCATCTTGAAATACATTGCCCTGTTAGGAAAAAAAACCCCAAAAAACCCAAATCTGAAATGCATTGCAACAATGAAAGCCTACAAGAGTTCTTAAAACCATCACTGTAAGATATAGATAATGATAGCTTTTTTTATCACTTAGAATATAAGACTTGACAAAGTCATCTAATAGCACTAATTCAGTGTCAGGGATTGAACATTATGAAGCTTATTACTTTCTCCTACAAAATAAAAATGGCTACAACTCGGCCAAGGTTGTCCCCATTTTCTTTTGGGGGCGGGGGGAAAGTTAAAATGTGTAGAATGAAACGAAGCCCACAGAACACTCTTACAAATAGTGTTTCTGTTGCGTGTAACCCTTCAAAACAAGACAGAAAGAGCACAAACATGTACAGTAGAAGAAGATCATTTTAAGAACTAGATCTGAACAAGTCAAATTCATGTTTTAAATTAACAATGGGTTGGAAATCAATTTCTTTGTAATAAATGGGTTAGTAATTTTCAATATCAAAATATTTTTCTGCTGTGATATTAAAACAATTTTGTTAGTTCAAGACAATTTCAGTTTTCAAACACTGGAACAATACATAGATAGCCATTTTCAGTGTTTGATGCTTGGTGCAAAGGTAGTTTTTAAAAAGTGTTACTTATTGCTAAACTCTATTTATGTAAGTTTTACTTCAAGATCTGGCAGTTTGCACTTCTGTGTTCGTAATTCCAAGAATCAGAATACACTCATGAAACTAATATTTAAAATGGAACTGAAACTACAAACATGCCTGTTGGATTAAGTTTTCTGTTTGAAAACAAGATGAAATATATAATTCTTCAAGTCACTTAAACTATAATGTTAAAAAAAAGCTTAATATGCTATTTTGAAGAAAGGATAAAACCCATTCTAATCTCTAAGTAATTTTTTTTAAAAAGGGAAAGCTTAATTGCAGCACAAGAAATTTAACTAAGATATAAGGTAAACACTTGACACTACATGATGATAAAAGTTTGAATAAGCTTCCAAATGGGATAAAATTTTCTTCTCTGAAAGCTTCCTGAAAAGGGAATGCTTTAGATATGCTCTTATCTGCAGGTGGACATAATAGCTAGCATCTAGAGGTCAACTCCCAGCAGTACAATTGTGGTGGGCTTCTCTCATTTGTTCACTAAATATATACCATAACATTAAAAATTGTAAGAAAGACAACAGAGCTTATATTAGGCTATTTCGTTGACATAAACCATAAACTTGACTTCTAAAACTGTATTAAAAATAGTAGACTCTATTGTGTGCTTTACTTTCTTTTAAGATCCAGCTCAAGTCACTTCTACTTTATACTTTAGCATCTTACACTTATCTCTAGAATATGTCACTTATCATACTGTGATATTGCCTGTTTACACCCATCTCCTCCAGCAGATTGTAGGCTTTAAGACAGAGACAATTTTTCTTTGCCTCTCTGGTACCTGACAGTTTAAACCACAAAACAGGCACTTGAACAAGTAAATACAAAAATATTCAAATCTCAATTGTCCTCACCCATCTCTAATAAAAAAAAAGAGAAAGTTTAGAGGGTCTTACATTCAAATCTTTGTAGTTCAGATTGATGACTAAACCAAAGGGTCGTCCGCCCATGGGCTCTGCAGGAATGAAGGAGTACTCAAAAGTTGCCTGTCTCTGGGGTGGCACTACAGTGTTCAGAGGGAGAGCTGTGAAATTCTGGATATAAAACTGGTAGTCCTGAGGATAACGGAATGAGGCATCTAGGGATTCAACAATAAAATCTTCTGTACCCTTGTTTGTAAAGCCTACCAGGAATTTCACAATGTTATTTGCTGGAAAATCTAAGAAAAAAGGAAAAAAACAAAACAAAGAGACAGATTACAAAATGTTCAAAGGGTATAAAATAAACAGTTGACATGTCTAAGAGGCTCGACGAAATTATATTATGTTAGAACATTAAAATAAAATCAAGCAATCCCTATCCACTTTGAGCAATTAGTCAAAATGTAAATTTGAAGGTAAGACCCAAAGATGGAGCTACAAAAATAAATGGGGGAGGGGAGAGGACTCTCTTAATAAAATTATACTTTTTCTAGGCATAAAGTTGGAATGTACATGGGAATAAAACACAAAACTTAAGAAGGCAGAGGAAAATTTATAACTTCAAATAATAAGTCTTCAATTACACTGTAGCCTACAGAGCTGAGTTTCACCCAGTAGAGCACAGCACAGGCTTTGGGGTCAGATGGGTCTGTGTCTGAATCCTGTCTCCACATTCTATTTACCACTGGGTAACCCTGAACAAGCTGTTAACATCTCTAAATCTCAGTTTAGCAATAGTAACCAACCTCACAGGATTTCTGTTAGGGTTAAATAATACATGCAAAGTACTGAGAATACTGACATATAGGCCATTATTTATTTTCTTTTAATAAAATCTAGGTTCCGCCCAAGTCCAAATTATAAAGATTTAATGTTCCACTCAAAATATGAGTTACTTTATTGTGGCAGTTTTTAAAAACAGTTTCTTTCAAAAGAATATTTAACTTTCTAGTTAAAATGGGTGTTATTTTCCTTTGCAACAGCATGGATGCAACTGGAAAGCATTATGCTAAGTGAAATAAGCCAGGCGGTGAAAGACAAATACCGTATGACCTCACCTTTAACAGGAACCTAAACAACAAAACAAAGAAACAAGCAAAATATAACCAAAGACACTGAAATAGAGAACAGACTGACAGTGTTCAGAGGGGAGGGGATAAGAGAGGGTATTTCAGGGGAAAAGGGGAAGGGTTTATAGGAACAAGTATAAAGGACACATGGATAAAAACTAGGGGCAGGTGGAAATGGGAGGGAGGAGGAGAGGGCTGGGTGGGTGGGGTGGGATGGGAGTAAAAGATAGAAAATTATACTGCAACAACATTAAAAATAAAAACAGCTTGATTTAAAAAAAATGGGTAGTATTTCTTTCCCCCCTTAATTTAAATGCCAGGAATACTACTCTACAGACATGGGTATTCATACCTATATAAGAGGGTTCTCTCATAATGCATATTTACACTACCTTGTAAGAAAGGAAGATGAATCTTAAGCATTACTACCACATCCCAAAAAGGTGACCGTGTCATTTTAAAAATTCCTTACACCTGAGTTAAAACTAGTATCTATTACCTTCTCCTTTCACAAATAGGATAGTTGTATCTGCACTTGGTGAAGCTTCAGGCTCACCAGATACATCTTCTTCCTCTTTATCTTCTGCCTAAGAAAAACAACATTAGAAAGGGATTACTATGGGGGTTGGGGGGGGGGGTGGCGTGGGGTGGGGAGAATTCCATCATTCAGAAATGACAAGTTCACTAAGATTTGGGACAAAATATTGTCTCTCCCAGGCTTTGTGGAGATTAGCAGTGGTATATGATTTCACTGTAGTTCACTGGTTAAAATAAAAATTCTAGATCAATACATCTCAAACAGTAATGTGCATTCCCAATCCCCAAGGATTCTGCAGATCTGATTCAGGTCTCCAATGAAGCCTGAAATTCTCTATTTCTAACATTTACCCAGGAAATGCTAATGTTGCTGTTACTCAAACCACACGTTGAACTGCAAGGTTCTGGAGTGTGGGTTGGTAAACTTTTCTCGTAAAGGGCCAGATAGCAAATATTTTTGGCTTTGAGAACCACAAGGTCCCTGCTGCAACTATTTGACTCTGTGGCTGCTTTCTATGTGGCTACAGTGTAAAAGCAGATATACACATTACATAAAAGACAGGCAAAACTGGATTTGGCGTGCAGCCACATTTTGCTGACCCTGTTCTAGAGCACCTTATCAGCCTACAAAGACATAAATTACACCTCAAGAATAATGTTAAAAAATGTGACCAAATTTTAGTTTAATACTTTAAACCTCAGGCATTTCTCCCATCATCACTAAGGCTTACAAAAAGATTCACATATTTGAAGTGTCCATGCCCTTAATAAATCAGGATGCTTAAGGATCCCACTTTTTATTAGTATTTAACTTTTTCATTTATGTAAAATAATTTTCTCAATAGACAGAATTCTCAAAGGCAAAGACTATCTTACAATTTAAGACTTTTCCACACCCAGTCCATATGCTTATGAGAGAAGACACTCAAACATCAGTTTCATGACTGTGCAATTCTGGGTTTTAAGTATCCTTAGTGACAGCATTCATTTTACAAGAGTTAGTGAATTTCTGCTTTTCAGAAAAGACACCCACAAGTAGGAAAGAGACCAAACACAGAAACCATAAGCTGTAATAATGAAGAAGGGTATACTTGACAAACAGTTAAGAGAAACCATCTCTAAGATTTGATTAATGGGTTGTGCAACAAAAAGAAAAGTAGCAAGGCACAAGTTTGAATCACTAGAGCTGTATCAAAACAAGAAAGTTTATGCAGGTGGGATGGATGGTATATACTGAATTCCATTTTGGACATACAAAATTTGAGCATCCAGATGGTGCTATACTGCAACAATGAAGCAAATACAGGTATAAAGCTCAGTAACTGTAAAATAGGTGGCCAAAAATGAGACCTGAAAGTCATCAATATAAAGGGGGGGGGGGGGTGGCTGAAACCACAGGTCTCATCAACACTAAAGGGGTGAGCAGAGGAGAGAAGGTAGAGATGAAGCAGCAGTAACTGGGCAGGGAAAACTAAGAGGGCTGCAGCAGAAGCTAACATGAAGGGACTCAAGAAAAGGGTGGCCTGCAATTGTAAAAAGGGTTCAAACAGGTAACAATGGCAAACACACCCAGAATTTGGCAATTAGGTCACTGGTGACTTAGCGAGAACATTTTTACCAAATATAGGCAATTGATCAACTTAGAGAACAAATGTGAAATGAGCACAAGAGAAAAACTAGTTTGCGATTTCAAGAAGCATGCTGGTAAAGAAAATGTAGAAAGGACGGGTGAAGTATAAACTTAAAAACTTGATGGAGTTCATCCTTCATGGCCTTCACTTTCTGACACTGAAGTCAATGTTGCTAAGAATGAAGAGGACTGATATCAGAAATTGAAGGTGGTAAATGTATGGAATAATAGTTGTGAAGAACTGGAAAGTATATGGAAGTAAAAGTAAATAACTCATTTATTTTATAGCTAATTAACATAGGATAAGATGTATATTGCTTAGTACGTGTTACCTGGTTGTACTCTAAAATATTTTGGCTATGACAGGTTATCCCCAGGACAGTAAAGAAACTGGCAGTACTGTTGAGATGACCTTAGCACCTGGAATGCAGGTATACAAGAGAAACTTTTCACTATATACCTTTAACTTTTTAAATTCTAATCCACTTAAATGTATTATCTATTTTAAATAATACCAATATTTTTTATGTTAGTATCACTACTATAGTGCTTGTTTTAACAATCAAAACAAAAAAATTACTATCACTTGTTAAGAAAAATACTTTCAAAGAATGATGACAAGCTACATTGCAACCTACAGCTTTAGAGACTAAAAAGGATAGTCAAGAGGGTAAAAAAGCCCAAGGTGACTTAAAAAAGTTTTCAGCGCAAACTTTTAAACCAATAACTTGCATCTAAACCAGCTGTTGGTATCTCAGATCTTAGGAAAATCTCCCTTCTGTCCCTTGACTCCAGAGATAGGGCCAGTGGCAAAGGATCCTACCATAACTTCCCATTCCTTGATACCTAAGGCAAGTGTATACAAGTTGATAATCATGGGGAACAACAATAACAGGATAAATTCTAGGGCCCTCAGTTCTGGAGGTAACTTTTCTAGCCACTCTTGCCCTAAGGGCCTATCTTTTTTACTTTACAGGGTTCCACACAAACCTACCACTGCTGGTACCAACTTAGTCTAAAGGAAGGAAACACTTTCCCTGCCTTCCTGCTTCAATTTTCCCTAGCCATTTTCTGATTTGAGAAAAGCAACACAGCAAAGGATACTAACACTTTTGAACTCATTGGTCATGGTATGGAGTGGACAGTTTGAGTTACTCTTTCAACTCTAACAGTTCCTAAGACAAGAGATATGATCAAGGCATAGAAAAGTTCTGGCTAAACTGTAACTATAGCAAAGATCTAACAGTTTCCTTCTTTACTCTTTTCCTCCACAATAAATACATTTCAAAGCTAGAGAGCTGAATTTCAGAAAAGTGGTTATAACAATATCATCTATTACTAAATTTCTATGCATGCCCACATTTCAAAGCCCTAAACGTCAACTCTAATACTCAATTTCTGAATAGATTCCCCTCCTAATGTTCACTCCAATTTATCTTACCACAAGTGGCACTTTTAGAACACTCAAGTTTTTGTTACCAATAGTGATGGAGGAACGCACTGACCTAGTTAAAGTAGTACATCAAACAACTGGGTCAAAGATGCAGACCCTAATATAAACCCTAAAAGTATGGGTATACATATATGTGAAAAGCTTGACACGTAGTAATAATCAGTAAAGGTGTCTTAAAAGAGGGAGAATTAGAAAAGGACAAAAATTAGTAGGGATATTATAATAAAATAAAACAATATGTAGATGCATGAAAACGGTAATTTAAAAATCAACAAAACAGCACGCAGATTAGCTTACTCCCAAAAAATGCTATGTCAAAAGAGAAGCAGTATCTATATACAAGGCTAATTATTCTGATGTCAACATAACAGAAAAATAAGGACATGGTTTAATCTCCAGAAAAAAAGTAAAATCTAGAATCACAAACATTTCTAGATTCAAGTATGGCATAATGAAAAGAGAAAGAAAAAAATATCTGTGTAGCGCAGAGTATAACAATCCAAGAGAGGAAATGAAATTAGCTAGAAGCATGCTGCAATAATCCTTATTCTAGCTCAAAGCTCTATCATACTATTTTATAATAAAAGTGTCAGCTGTATGTTTTGTTTTTTTTTTAATTGAAGGTCCCTCACTGGTCCTGCTTCCAGGAGTGGCCACCACCAGGTAGAAAAGAGGAAGTAAGCCAGGTGGCATGCGAAGGGTTCATCTCCACAACATTCCATTTATACACAGAACTAAACAGAAAAGCACAGAGTCACTACTGCAGATAGAAGTTGGCAGTATGGGACAGGGCAGGAACAGGCAGGGAGTTAGGGTGTCATTAAAATACAGGCCCCTGCCCTGGCTGGTGTGGCTCAGTGGATTGAGCGCCAGCCTGAGAGCCAAAGGGTCACTGGTTTGTTTCCCAGTCAGGGCACTTGCCTGGGTAGCAGGCCAGGACCCCAACAAGGGACATATGAGAGGCAACCTCACATTGATGTTTCTCTCCCTCTCTTTCTCCCTCCCTTCCCCTCTGTAAAATAAACAAACAAAATTTTAAAACGGTTTGGAAAGGCCAAAACTGTCAGGGGTGAAGGGAAAAAGGAAGGTCCAGGGGGTGGTGGGCTGTTCAGAAACTGGGTGAAGGGACTGCTGTTCCCCTGCTGGGATCCCCCCAGCCCCTCTGGTCTGGCAGGAAGTGGGCAGCCTGCAGTCCTCACAGGCAGATCTCCAGTGGCCAGATGCTCCAGGCATAGGGCTGGAGGGGGCTCACAAAGGATTGCCCTCCAGGGACATGACAGCACTGCCCCCCAGCTTCTCTGCCAGAATGCAGCAGTCCTTGACCTCCTCTTTGCAGTTTGCTTGTAATTCATACTTTATCCCTATCAGCTTCTTTATTTATTTTTAGAGAGAGAGGAAGGGAGGGAGAAAGAAAGGGAGAGAAACATCAGTGTATTCAAGAAACATCAATCAGTGTCTCTGACACGCCCCCAACACAGGACCATGTGCCCTGACAGGGAATCCAACCAGTGACCTTTTGGTTTGCAGGCTAGCACTTAGTCCACTGAGCCACACCAGCCAGGGCAGATCTTCTCTAGGCCCTTTACTATTCACAGAACACATTGCATATATTTTTTATTGTCTGCTCCTCATGCCCTGCCACCAAAACACATAGACACTGCTCCAAGAATATGAACTCCATGACAGCAAAGAACACATCTGGTTTGTTCACCCCTAGCATCCAGAACAGTGCCTGGCACATAGCTGGGCACATAAGTATTTGCTTACGGAGAGAAATTAAAAAAAGAAACTCAGATTTAGAGAGACAAGCTACCCAAGGTCAGAAAGCTAAGCAGTATGTATCCCAAATCTATCAACAAATGGTCCAGATCTATTACCGCTATGCTATTACCCTCATAGAGACGATCTCTCTGCCTGTTCCAGAAAATTCTAAAGATCCATCCCAATGACTGACCTCTATTCTCCCAATTTCAATCCATACCCCAATCACAGTAACAACAATAACATGGAAGCTGCTAAAATCAAGAATTTGATTTTAGAATAAAAAGAATTCTTATATAAGAATTCTTATATAAGAATTCTTATATTTTTATTCTTAAAAATTCTTTATAAAGAATTTTTAAGAATAAAAAGGATACATTTTAGATATATATATGCATTAAATCATACATCACACTAACCAAATCTGTGGGTTCATCTTCTTCCACTTCTGCTTCATCATCTTCATCTTCAATTATTGAATCTTCCACTGTTTCTTCATCTTCTGTAAGATCCTGAGCTGCTGCTACTAAGCCTAACAAAATATAAAACAAGCAGTTAACTACCCTGAAGTTAACTAATATTTTTCACTTCAACAATATTCAACAAAAATTTCCTCTTGGAGCAATTCAATCACAAAGTTTACTTGCATGATATCAAATTATAATGCATGTAAGAATATTCATATGATGTTATTTTAGTAGTCTTAACTGCATGTTAATTTTAATGGGAAATGCTGTTTAATTTTTAAAAAGCACCTAAAAGTTGAAAAAATGAACTCCTGAAACTAAAGATGCCTTAAATTTCAAATAAAGAACTTTAAACAATTTTGTTAAGTGAATAAAAATAACAGTTTTAAAAGAAATCCCAAAATTTAATCTGTCATTAACAATACAAAAATGAAACAAAAATACTCATGTCTGAAGGAAATAAGCGATCTTAATATCTAGGCAAGAAACACTGTCATTAGAGTTGATTACAACTCAAACTCTTAGAACTTTACTGCATGTAATTCCAAGGAACAAACATCTGTGTGGCATCCATGTAAAAACTAGCTTATATGAAACATATCATTTAGTAAAAAACCCTATACTATCAACTTCAGGGTTGGTAGCCAAGAAAGCATGCATTTATTTTTGCATATGGCTTCAAATATGATACTCTTTAAATCCTCTACACTTAATATGAAAATAAAAGTTAAACAGAACTATAATGCCATGAAATTATAAATTCTAATTTTATATACAAAAGTATTCTAAATAAGTCTTATTAAATCTATTTCAGACAAGACCTTCAAAAGAAATTTCAAAGATCTAGCAACTCCTCCAATATGTCTCAGGAAGAATGATGATGTGGCAATTCAGCAAAGAGGAAAAAATGTGGGAAAGGAAGCATGTGCATATGCTGCAATACCCAAGAGAAACTATATAGTAAGGACCAGGCATGTTAAGTCTTTTCAGTCCTACCTCTTCCTGAACAAAACATTTTTAAAAACTGGTAAGGAAAAAGACCAAGAAAAAAAAAAAAGGAAAACACAAAGAAATAAAAAGCCAATAAGAAGAACATCTAGGTATGACATAATAAAGCTGTATTTAAATTTCAGGACTGAGACTTAATGGCTTTTCATCCTACCTTTCAGTGGATATTAAACTATTTTAATGTTAACCAGTAACAATTTTGTGCCTATGAAATCTAATAATTTTCAACTGGAAAAATTTAAGAGGAAACATCTTTTGAAAGAAAAACTAATTCTCACACAAAAAAGTTTAAGCATACCCAGTTCATTATAGAAACTGATGTTTCTTTTTAAGAAAAATTTTAAAGCCTGAAAAAAGCACAGTCTGGATTCTATACAGTAAAACTGGCAATTTATCTTTAAAAAACAAAATCAAAACGAACTGAAAACCAACCAGCAAGCAATTAATGAAGGAAAAGAACCCCTCAATCTGCAAATGAATTAAAAGTTCTGATTAATTTTCACACTTGGTTTTGTACTCACTAAACAGAAGCGAGTCACTTCACTTTTCTTTGCAAAACTTGTGGATACTTGTCACTATCATTATGCCACAGAGCTTGCTTCAACTAGGAATTCTAGTGATCATTTAGTCAGACTACAATTTACAGACGAGAAAGATCGAAGTTCACGATATAACCAGGGCAAAAAGCCAAGTGTCCACATTTTTAGTGTTCTGCTATCTAAATTATTTTCAAATCAGGTTAACTGTTGTAAAGAATAAACCTAAATACTAAGCATAAAACTAGAATTAGACAGTACTTTTTCAGGACATGGTAATTCCAAGAAACAAAAACAGCAACAAAAAAAAAAAAAAAAGGAGAGGAGAAAAAGGTGCATAAGTAATAGACATCCCACAGAGAGTCTTCAGTCAGCCTGGGACTATAGGAAGGACAATGTGGGGTGAGAATGGGGAGCTTTTCTGAAATACACGACTCCCAGCAACACACAGGGACCAAGGGCTGATAAAAGGGAAGATCATTAGAAAAATAAAAAGTGCTCTAAGAGTTTAGGTGCCTAGAAAACAAAGGTTTCAGCAAATGAATGAAGACGAACTCCTAGCGTGGAAACGAAAGACACGTCAGCCCAGAGCTGAGGGGATGGGGGTGGAGCAGCGCTGGTGGCGGCCAGAGGAAATAAAACCGGCTCGTAGCGCGCTCTGGGCTCAGCCGTGCCCCTCGCCCCGTCTCTTTCTCATCCAAATGGACCCGCCAGCTCAAACTACAGTTGCCGACACGGGTCCGGGAGTCAAACCTTCGGGCGGCCACCCAGCAAGGTCACCGGCACAGCCTCGCGCTCCGCGTGGAAGCGGCAGAGGCCCCAAACAGGATCTCATGCCACGCGGGACCCTACTACGAGCCGGGGGTCGAGGAGAAGGTGAAGGGATATTGGCGAGGTGCACGCTGGACCCAGAAGCTGCTGCCGCCGCCTCTAGCTTTAAGCTTGCGGTCACTCGCAGCTCCTTCCCCGCCAAGTCCCGCCACCCACTTCCCTCGCCTCACCTCCAGGGCCGCCTCGGAGCAAGACAGTGGCAGGGAACACCAGCAAGAGAAGCAGAAGCAGCCGTGGGAGGAGTCTCATGGCGGGCACGTCCAGTGTCCACTCGCCGTCCGCGAGAGCTCTCGGCGGCTCCAGCGATAATGGCGTTACTCTTCATCCGGGCTCCGGGCGGGGAGGGGCGAGGCACGTACCACGTACGGCCCTTCGCCACGCCCTTCTGTGTGGTGGAGAAGCGCCGCTAACGTGGCTGAGATTCGGTTCCTGCTGGTGGTGCTAGAGAGGCCCACGGAGTCACGTGGCTGGCTGCTGGGGCCTCTGAGATTACCGCGAGAATCAGCCTTTCGCCTTAGTGCGGCCTGGCGACTTGGGGTTGGTCGCACGCTGTGCTCTGCCTGGCCCACCCCATTTAATCAGTATTGTTCGTTAGTGGTTACCTCACTTGAGTGACGTTCTTTCTGGCTCAATAAAGCCTTTATATTGAATGGTAGGGGTAGGGGCATGAGCTGTCTGTATGTAGTGTTGAAAAGCAAAAAAATGTTTTGGAATATTTTTTTAAAATAACCCCAAAAGCATAAAAAATATACAGTGATAAATCTTTTTCTCTATCTGCCCTTATCTTCACCCATAGTAACAGTTCTTAAATTCTTAGATGACATTCCAGTGTTATAAATCATCTAGAGCAGTGCCTGGCATATAGAAAGTATTTGACAGATATACGATGGGGGCAGCAAAGGCTGTACAATATCCTCCAGTTTCCTCATCTAGTTTGGACTTTGGGTTGCTTCCAACAATCTGGTATTTCATGTATTTAAACAATCTGAATATCAGGTCTTGTTGGACTAGACCAATGTGACGTCATATGATGATGAAACAAACTAATGCTTATGTGTGCTTTCTATTGCCATCACTGCCCCTTAATCTCTAAAAATCCCTATCAGCTGGATATTATTTACTGAGAAGAAAACTGAGACACAGAAAGGTTGGTAATTTACCCAAGACTTAAAGGTTAGTCAATGGTAAGGTTAGTCGATGGCTGATGGTAAGATTTGAACCTAACAACAGTCTCATTCCGGCCTCCATCGTCTTAGAACATCTTCTGTTCTACTCCTTCGTTGGCCCAGCTCAAGGCCCCATTGCCCTGGGGACCCTGTGATGGCAGCTTGTGGCTGCTGCGGCCACTATTTTTGTCTGCTAAAGTCACCACCTGACACTGGTGGGCTAAACCAACTCTGCTCCACTCTTCTCTGCCAGACCACCAATGCTGCTGTAGCTGCGGCCACTGAGGCACCTGGCAGAAGTAGAGGGACTCCCTAGAAAGGCATCCTCCCACTTTGCCACTGACTGCCCTCCTATACATGGCTACCAAAGCTGCCTCTCTGTGCCAAAGCCACCAGGACTGGTGACCTCACTTTCATGTGGCTGGGAATTTAACTTCCCAACTCTGAGGCACTTTCTGCTTCAGACCTGCTCTGAGTTCCTGAGTCTGACAGGTGTTTTGCCAAACACATCCTTCTGCTTCATTTGCTGCTCTCCCCTAGCACCAGAAAGAAAATGGTGTGGACTGTAAAAAAAGTCACAGACATTCTGCTAAACTTAAAATCACTCTCTCTGTCACTGCACCAACAGTCTCTCACAGACTTTTTCTTCAGAGGACTGATTTCCGGTGGAGAAGATTCTCATTCTTTATGTTAAAGTGAGTCCTAGTAGTTCTGTCTCTCCAGTTCTTATGACATGCTTAGACATAGCCTAAACCTGTGAGGATAATCCAGTTTAGGCTTAAACTGGGACTTTCACTCCAATTATGTTATTAAATGATCACTAATGGATTTTAATGGCGACTTGAATTTTAGACAACCAGCTACTAAAGACACAGGAAGGACAAATACAAGTATACCTACTCTGGATGTGACTAATGTGATGAACCTAGGGAAACAAAAAAAACATAGAAACAGAAAACTGAGACCTATGTCCAATTGTCAGAGAAAGCAGTAGGCTATGAATCAGAGAAATAAAATCCTCACCCTAATCTTAGTACCCACAAATTCTGCATTTTTGTGATCTACATTCTCCCTGTGGTAAGCAGCTTTCCCTGGGTGCCCACGCAAGAGGTCTCCCCTTGGTTCGTTCTAATCTTTAATTTACAGAATTGAGAATGCCATCTACTAGTTTACTTAGGTCTGTCCAAATATTCCCTAATGTTGTCTCACTGTCACCTCTACACCTATCACCTTGAAGATAACTATTTTCCAGGAAAAGAGCACAGCTCAGACAAGTCTGAAGTGGATTCTCCACTTTCATTATTTTATTCACTTAGAATTTATAAAAGCAGAGTCTTCTTTCCCTTTGATTACTTAAGATTTTTCTCATCAGCATTAGCAAATGTGCTTAATAGCACTGGTTTTTCTTGTTTTATTCTGCAGGTAACTGTGTAGCTAAGGGACTTCCTCATGTCCTTGAAACCTTTGCTCAATTGCCACTTGTCAGTGAGGCTTAGCTTCACATACCAATGTGAAACTACAGCCCTCATCCCACCTTCCCCTGCGCTCACTTGTGCTCATGTGCGTGTGCTCTCTCTCCATTCCTTTCTCTCTAGTCTCCTGTTTTTCCTGGAAAATATATATTGTTACCCTCTATATAAATATATATTGTAAAATATATATTGTTACCCTCTAACAATATATATTTTACCATGTGTCCTGCCTGTCTCTTGTCAATGTTGTGAGGCCAGGAATCTGTTTATGTTTTATACACCTTTTAAAAAAAGCTCTCCCAAAGGATATGTTTATTGATTTTAGAGAGAAGGTAACCCTGATTTTTTAGAGAGAGGAAAGGAGAGAGCAAAACATCGATGTGAGAGATATCCATTGGTTGCCTCCTGGACACACCCCAACTGGGATTGAACCTGCAACCTAGGTATGTGCCCTGACCAGAGATAAAACCCGCATCCTTTTGGTGTACGGGATGATACTCCAACCAAATAGGCCACCTGGCCAGGGCAAGGTCAGAAATCTTTGGGCCTTTGAATCGGTGTTATAGAATAGTGCCTGACACCCAGTGGTAACTCAGAAAATATTTATTGAATTTGTTGTAACGTGACATTTTTCCTCCTCATATTTGCAACCTAATTTCAGTTGTAGACCTGATAAGAAATGAAAAAGTATCAAGTAAAAAAAGAGTTATGTTTATTATATGCAAGCAAAGACTTAAGTGTTCTTTCACCTAGTAAAGGCTAAAAAAAACCCATTAGGTTTTGCATACCATACATGTGACAGAAAAAAAAATTTGTGATCCTTATGAAAAGGGGGCATGATGGGAAAATAAACAAAAAATAAGGAAGGCTTTCAAAGGAGTCCTGGCTCTCCAACCCAACTCTTCTTCAAGAAGGAGGGCCTGCCTTCTTTCCACCCTCCCAAAGCACTATTCCCATCTGGCCCTATTTCTTCATAATTCACAGACCTCCCCACCAGCTCTCCCAACTCATTTTTCATTGAAAAGAATAGAAAAAATCATAAGCACATAATTACTCACCACAAACTCCACTGCTTACTGCCACCTGTGCACTCATGGTCTGCCCTCCTTGCTGTTACAATAAAAAATATTTATAGACCTATCAAAAACCATCTGTCATTTGTGGTTGAGATCCCATTTCCTGCCCAAGACATGTGATTCTGAAAGTAGTCCTCTTTTCTCTACCTCTTAATAAATTTCTGTCTCCAATTCATTGCGTCTATCACTATACAAATAAACTATAATATCGTGTATCTTAAAAAGCAAAATTCTCCTGTGGCCTGTGTTCCCTTGCAGCAATGGCCTCATTTCTTGGCTCTCTGACACAGTAAAACTTCACTAACTCACCTTTTAATTTTCTTCTCTGACTATTCCAACTGGGCTTTTATTTGTACCCCTAAACATCTAAAACATCTCCATTTTGCTAAATCCAAAAGTCATCATCTAAGCCCTGCCAGCCCCTCTTTTAACACTAATCTAGGCTTGATAACAACTATGCCTTCCTAGTTTCCTTCCACCTCTCTCACGCCCTCCTTGTCTCTGCATGGCCCCTCAATGTGGACCTGTTGGAATGGATATAATACTAAGGCTGGAAATTCACCACTGCATGTTCTGTGAGAAGCCGTGGAGGTCACTCTATTACCCAAGCAATAAGGAATACACAGGTGAGGGGGAATCCAGGCTCTCTAAGACCAGTGGTCAGCTGTCCTCCATTGACCAGGGCTGAGGATAAGAGATGCTGTGTACAGAATGGGGCTGCTAGCATTGGTGATGGCAGACGGCCAATGGCACCATTTAACCAACAGAAACAAGGTGGGCACAATTATCACCATGAGCTACAAAGTCAGACTGGGGGAGAGGTAATAGGGATGAACAGGAGGAGTAACCTGTAGAGAGCCATGGCACTGGTTAATATATTGCTTAATTTATATAATTAAATAAATCAAGAAAGATCAGTAGTCTGAGGACAGTCACCCCAATAAAAAATCATGCTCTTTTTCTCAGCATGGCCTGAGCCAGTTCCCAGTCCCAGAACCCAGTAACTGAAGAGAAGCCAACTTCCTGTGATGAGGAGCCCTGAAACAGCATCACAATTGCCATCCAATAGTGAATATCCCATCCTTTCTCAAAGGAACCGATGGACATTTACTCACAGTAATTATGCATTGAGGAAGGGGAATACCCACACTTTTATAGGCTTGTTGAGTACAAGGTCTGAACTGACATTATATCCAGGACCCAAAACACCAACTAACCCTTTTTTAGAGTAGGACCATGTGGGAGCCAGGTCAAGCTAACATTGCATACCTGAGGTTATCAGACCTATCCATATCTGGTTCCTGAAAGTACAGATGGAATGGTGTTTGAAAGAACCCTCACACTGTTTCCTAGTAAGAGCTATTAAGAATATTAAGAGTATGAAAGGCCTAGTGGAAGTTTCTGAAACTGCCACTACCACTCCCCTCCACAGACAGAATAGTAAAATTAAAAACACAACCACCCCCCAGGGCAATGGTAGGATGTATGCCATTCTCAAAGGGGTGTTGGTCTCTATTAAACTCCAATTTAACTTGCCAGCTGGCCTCTACAAAAAACGAGACAGATCATGGCAGAGGACAGGAAAATACTAAAGCTTAACCAAGTGGTCGCCTCAATATCTCATGCTCAAACACAGC